TGAATAAAAATATTTTTTAAATGCTTAATTACACCCAGTTTTACCCTAAACTTAACACCCTTGTGAGCTCTCTTAGGTTTTTTCTGATACCTTAGGATACATCTTGTTAATGGATGAACAACATCAAGAGAAAGCCCAGATGCTCACAAACATAGTTCAAAGCTACAGTGGCTTGGTGCTGAGATGCTGAGTGTGGCTCCTGGGGAAGGAGCTCAGCTGGGCTACCTTCAGTGCAAGCATCTGGCTTATTGCAGAACAACTGCTGAATGCTATTTTCACTTTTCACCTTTTTTCGTAAAAGCAAAAATCCTCTTCAAATTTCTTTCAGTTAGTGAAAACAGGTACTAATGTAGGTTTTTGACAAAAGCAAAATGACATAATGTGAATCAAAAGTGGGGGATACCTGGCCCTGGAGGGTGGCTCAGTTAGTTGGAGCATCACCTCGTTCACCAAAAGGTGGAAAGTTCAATTCCCAGTTAGGGCATAGACCTAGGTTGCAGGTTTGATCCTGTGTTCTCTCTCTCTCTCTCTCTCTCTCTCTCTCTCTCTCTCTCTCTCATCAATAGGTATCTTTGGGTAAGGATTTTTTAAAAAGTGGGGGTTGCCTGTATTCTCTAAGCTCCTGCTGTGAGCCAAGCCTAGTTCTGTGCAGAGGCAATTTTCCTCCTTGTCATGGAGCTCACTTCTTATAACCACCAATTGGACAAAGAAAATCCAAGTCACACTGGAAGTCGCCAGCATCCCCGAACCAAAGTAGACGGCGGCTGAGGGAGGGGAAGGATAGACAGTTTGTGCTTCTAGTCACCCCCTTCAATGTAGAGAGGGAAATAAATAGCAAGAGACCAAAGAGCTTCCAAAGGGGTCCTGTGGGTCTCAAAGTTCACCCAACATGTTGCAAAAAACCTGTTTTTAAAACATTGCAAATATTTTTACAACATTCATATGATCACCTTGCCAGGTTGAAAATGGGGTGGGGGTGGGTCTGTCTGGTCTCTTGAATACAACTTGTCTGGTCAACTTCTGGGGCAAAGCACTTTCTGTCTGCACTGAAGTGTTTCAGGGTGTTTGGAACACTCTGATATATTTCATCAGGAATATTTTTCACTTTTTCTTTTTGGCCATTCAATAGTGAAGAAAACTA